CAGGTGTGAGTTGGGCAGTTCAGGAAATTACACTAGAATAGCAGGTTGGGGCCCCACCTGGAAGGTTCTTAAATGCCATGCGAACGTGTATTAAGCATTCTGCCCTACTGTCTGTCTATATGAACATTTTTCTGTTCTTCCCTTTTAGGACAGAAACTGGGGAACGTGGCAGTTTCCTTCTTTTCCGTTCTCTTTTCCTTTTGCTAAACATCCGGTCTCATCTTCAGATCCGGTGGATTAGAAGTGTGATTTCTTACAACAAAATTCCATTACAACAAAGTAATGGAAGGACTAAGTCAGATATTGGAGCCAGGCTTTACCTGTCTCTGAAAATACCAGTTAGAAGTCAATGACATGATGATAATGTTTATAACTATGAGAACCATGTGTTTGGCACTTTTATTAAAAAAAGAGAGACTTAGTTCTCCCCCCCCCCCCCCCCCCCCAGTTAATCACGGTAGTCTGAATTTCTCAGTAATAACACTAATTAGTGCCTGGTATCTGCCTTGCCCTTTATGATTTTCAGAATACTTTTTGTGTGCACATTGTCTCATTTAATCCTCATAATAGTCCCATGGGAAGGAGTCTTATTCTCATCCTTTCTTTTCAGAGGAGAAAACCAAGGCTCAGTTTGTTTAACGGGAGTCCAAGCTTCCTGATTCCTTCGACTTTGCTATGCCGCCTCTCTGAAATATGCTAATACAGCCCTAACCCAGGTTCTAAATTAGAAGGAATATTCTTTTTTTAAGTTGAATTTTTACTGATGTGAATCATCCTGTTTTCCTCACCCACTGGACTTTGTCTCTTTGAAGCAGATTGAATAGCCGCAGAGGCCCAGGGCGGGGAGGCCTCCGAATGTGGCTGTCCCTTTCTCCCTGCCTGCGTGGAAATGCTCAGACTTTGTTCTCTGCTGTTTTAGCCTAAAAAGGAATACATGTACCTGGTAAAAAATTCATAGAGTGTAAAAGGGATTGGAGCAAGAGCGAGTTCCCGCCCACTCTGTGTTCAAGTTCTTTTCCTGGAGGCAAACTCACTAATACTGGTTTCTGTGTCTCTTTCCAGAAATGTTCTCTGCTCACATAAGCATTAAGTTGACGGCCCTTGTCTTCGTACACACATGGGAAGATACTGTAAACTCTGTCCTACACTCATTAACAATACAGCAGAGATTTTTCTATGTTACTGCATGTTACATGGCCTCATTCTTTTCAATAGCTGCTTAACAAATCCTGTTGCCTGACGGCTCATAATTTACTCAGCCTGCCCCTGCTGATGGTCACGCATATTGGTCACGTATTTTACTATTTTACTATCAACAATAAGGGTTCACGGAACATCCCTGTCCATGTATCTTTGTACACACCTACAAGCATATTTGGAGGATAAATTCCTGGGAGTGGAATTTATTTTATTCTTAACACTCCTACTATTGAATATTCTACTGACTTCCTTACTCGCCCACTTCACTGCCTTGTATCCTTTGGGGGGAAGTTCTGACCTAAATCATACTTGCTAGAAAATGGAATTTTAGTTCTCAGGCTTTGCTTTTAAAGAAAATGAAACACCCAAACAGTCCTGCCTTTTAACGTCCCGTGTTCGGAAAGCGCGATTGAATTACCCGTACTCTCGCTTTCCTTCTCCAGGTTGGAAAATCTTAACTTCTTTTCCTCCCGTTTCCACTTACAGACTTTTAGCTGGTTATTTTTTGCCTCAAGATTATCTCTAACTTCTCCACAAACGGCCCGAGGTCTCCCCTGTGTCACTGTGGTGGTGCTTGAAGCCTGTCCTCAGGAGGGTTTTGTTACGTGGAAATGGGACCCTCTCCAGAGCAGATGTTCATGTCAGGGCTCTGATCACCCTGTTGAACTGGAGAGTGGGCTGTATGGCCAACCCCGGCCACCCCACTCAGATTAGACGGGTGGGGGGGGGCCTGGTCAGTCTCCGCAGGTGCTAGCCGTAGTGCTGAAGAAGGACGGTGACGCAGGCTTTTGCCGAGCCAAGCTGTACCCTGAAGGAGAGCCTGGATGTGTGGTAGTGGTGGGTCCCTGGAGGGTCAACGTAGCAGCCATCCTCTAACCAATATGGGCATATTTCAGTCTTTTAACCACCAGCGAGGCCACCCAGGGGCAAGCCCGCTGAACCTCAGCGTGAGTTCTCTTTGATAAGGCCTTTGAGATACGATGTGGTTTCAAAAGAAGCCCATTGGGTTTGTAGCGGGAGACCTGCTTTGAGTCACGTCTGCATCTCTTATTAGCCGTAAAACCTTCAACGAGACACTAACACTTTCCTTGTCTCCCAGTGAAGGAGTTTGCGCCATACAAAATCCAATGCCTCCTCTTGCTCTAAAGTTGGAGAAAATAAAACAAGCAGAACAGTCAAGGTGGCGGCTTCCAACCCTGAACCGTGTCCCTGGTATTTTATGTTTATGTCATAGTGATGCCTTTTTCCTGCCTAACTTCTTCATTCAAGATTAGCCAAAGAAAGGGATTTGGGGGAAGGGTCTGAAAGAAGAGAGACTGTGATCTGATTTGGGCAGCACGGGGCACATTATAAAATTGTGAAAAGTGTTGAGCAAAAGAGAGGCGGGTTTAAATCCTGACTCGGCCGCACTGTGTTCATTTGTCCATTCATTTCTTCATTCGTTCACTCCCTCAGCATTTGTGGAGCCTCAGGGGTTGGGTGCCATTCTGGACTCCAGGGAAGGGGTAACAATTGCAGTAATGTCCCTGCTCTCTTAGGATTTATATTCTAGAGGCACCTGGACAAGCCACTTATCCTCTT